TTCTAGACCTGGCTTATCCGAGCGGACAACTCGAGCCGGGGGGGAGGGGGGGCAGCGTACCGGGAATACAGAAGCTTCACCGACTTTGCAACTTGTCCGATACTCATTCTAAAATTGGGATATGACTCTAACAGGAAAGAAGCCACGCGAAGCGCACGCTTCCCAGAAGATTTAGAAGACTCAGAGAGAAGAAGGGTTTCGTAACAGTTTATATACAGTTCACACAATATCAAAGCGGTAAAAATCAGTATTTAGCACATTAGGCTCAAACACGTAAAAATAAGATAATAATCAAAAGTCAAGTATAACAGTTATTCTAAGCTCGAATTCTTGAACCCTGAACCAGAGATTCTGGGTTAGTTCCCCAGCAAAGTCGCCAGAGCTGTCACACCTCCTTTTTTCTGAGGGGGATAGGGAGTTTTTTCAATTAAAGTGACATTAATTGAAATGAGATTATTTATTTATTTCAGAGTTGCCACTTGGAATAATTTATGGTGTCCCAAGTCACCGGTTTATTTTAAATCCCAAATCGAGGAAATTTGACTCTGTTTTAAAGTCTTTGAAATCCATAAGACCGGGTAAGAAATTCTGTTAACCCGGGAGAAGGTGTGAGGCACTCCTGAGTTCTGTGATTTTAACACGGTCTCTCAACAATTAATAATTGGAATAATTATCTGATTTATTACATGTTTAAAACCTATTGTGCATTTTTAACTTTTAACCACTTTTAGTATTTATGAAATTATTTCTGGAACAGGTCACGATGTCGTACACTTGTCATTTTGATACACGTTATAAATTGCGCCACATGAAATGCACCCGGAATTTACGACATGTTTATTTTTTCTTATTATTCGAAGTTATGTTCGAGTCACGTGAAAGCACACTCGAATTGGAGATTATGTATCATGACTATGCCACGGGAACCGTACCCATAGTCACAATAATTTATTAATCGCGCCAAAAGCAAATTATGGTGTTCAAGAGTTGTACTTAATTTCTAACACTTAAAAAATGGAACAATTCGTTGTGGTTCGGATATGAACTCATTTAGGCTAGTAGGAATTCGTTAATTAACTCCTAAACAACCTCACCTTTACATGTAAAGCTCTAGGGCAGCCTATTAAGGTCCGGGCATGTTTACATATTAGTAATGTTAAAGCTATCTACTTCAGGAAAAGGAAACAGAAATGAAAGCAATTAAAAATTGATAAAGAGAATTTGGTCAAAACACTTTAAGAGGTATCTAACAATAACTTAACACATTATTATCTTAGCAATATGAATTAATCAAATAAAGCAGGCAATGGGCTTGATCAAGGAGCCCATCTCGTCACTGGAAGGATTCTCAGTCTCCCACAACTCAAGGCCTAAAGTCGGGCTTGATCCAAATAAGATCAGAAGTCTATTTGCAAATGTGGCAACATTTTTCATGCTTTCAAACACAACTCATAGCTCAACAAAATCAATTTATTTCCTCACTCATATTAACAAATCAAATCAACTAAACTCCAATGTTCCTGACAATGTTTTGATTCAATTATACATTTGCTTACTTCAAATAAAGAAAAACTCTAACAGATTAATCTAAAATGTGAGATATTTAACATTCAGCTTAAAACAAATGACTGTGAAGCTCATTTTCCTTGCTCTGCCTCGACAGATTCAAGCCAATCTCACCATAAAATCCATGAGCTGCAATTCAATACTCAAACACAGAAGTCCCTCTCCATCTTTAACACTAGGATAATCACTTAGCAGCGCAGAATATCATGAGTGCATCTAAAATCTGAAGTCACACTAAACCATAACATAACAAGAGCAATTATATGAAATCCAAAACTTTGACCAAAATAGAGCATGTAACCTGTTTCAATCCATTTATAGCACCATTCAAACAAACAATGAAAATCATCAACTTGTATTGTTAAATTAACATGAGAACTTACAAAAAAGTTGACAAAAGATGTCACATGAACAAAAATAGAAAGATGGGGTTGAGAGGATTTCAATCTAGATCACTGAACATGTTAGGACATTTCAGAAGAAAAGTAAAAAAAAAAACGTAAACACATCAACATACTTAAAATTCAAATAGAAGCAAATAGGGAAGTTTGATTATGCTGTAGGCCAGAGTTGTACTGAATCATAGGGGTGTACCTAATTGCCAAGAAATCAACAAAAAACCAAGAAAATAAGTCTCTGAATCAGCGGGAATATCAGCAAGGTAACAGCTTCAAATCAAGAGCATAAATCAAGCAGTCCAGCTAAAGAAGAAAAACCCAGAAAATCAGTAAAAAAACCTGAAGCTAAATGACTTCTGTTCCTCTTTTTTGCTTTGAAGAATTTGTAAAGTAAAATTTCACACTGTTTTTCTTTCAATGTCAAGGGAAAACCAGCCTATGAGTGCTTTTTGTGTGTGAAATCTGTGTTTGTTTGTTTAGAATTCAGAGAGTTTTTCAGTGTAAAATCAGTGGGTATTTGTGGGTAAAAAATGCAGGGAATAGCGTGTGTTGTGAGGGAGGGTGAAGTCTCTTATATAGAGTGTAAAAATCAGTCATGTGCTCTAAAGAAATCAGGGAATAATTCCCAGCAAGCAGCCCCTAAAATTCAGGAAAAGAGCATCTTTCAAAACTGAATTTGGACAGTTTTCCCTGTTTCTAGATGGTTCTTTTTATTTTCTACCCTTTAACTTCTAAAAATTATCTCTTTTGACCCCAATTTGACCTAATTTAATTATGGAATTGCACTTTAGTCCTTCCTCTAGAAACTTCCCCAAACAAATAAACTAGATTTCCTAATTTTCCAAATCCCTTTGACCCCTTTAACCTTTGTTAATTACAAACAGCTATCACAAGAAACTTATAGGGACTAAAAAATCACAACAAAGCAAAACAAAAATTCGAATTCTGACCTATTTTATGCACCTGGACTATTATCCTAATCATAGAATAACTGAATTTTTAAAAATCCTAACTATTCTAAACAGGCTAAACATATGAAGGGACATATTATCAGTTAACTGCCAATGCATCATTACACAAGCAATTCAAATGACAATTTAACAAATTCAACTAAGTATGATTGAAACTAAACTAAAACAATGCCTTAATTAACCTAAAGCTAAACTATAATATGTAAAACAACAAACAGAAAAATCAATCAGTAAATCATGCAACTAAGCCAAACGACTATGAAAGAATGGAAGGAAGAATTACCTATTGGCGACACTACTGCTGGCTTCAAATAATCTGGGCAGTGGTCGATATCGTCACATGAGCACTGGTTTATGCTTAAAAAACAACGAAGCTAGTGCTACATACATCGATATTAGCCACAGTCGGTCAAAAGGACTGAACGCAAGATGATGAAGAAAGGATTGGAGTTCCGGTGGGTTGGTAGGTGATTGACCGGATTCTGGTGGTTTGAAATAAAACCAACACTGACTTCAAACGCTAATCTCTTAATGACGGCAATCGATTGGTGTTAATATGAACCTCAAATTGGCCATAATCGGGGGAGACTCAACATAGTAGTGAATTTTAGGTTTTTGTGACTTTTCGATCTAAAATCCCTGGAGTTGTAGGGGTTTATGAAGGAATCCGTTTGGGGATTAGGAATGAGGAGGAGAAGAGGATTGTAGGGTGGCGATTTGGGGTGGTTTTGAGTGTGTCCGCCGCCGTAGGCGATTTCCGGTGGGCGGCGGGCGGTGGCGATGAAAGAGATGATAAAGAGGGGGGATTGTGAGGCTGTCTCTAGGATTTGGAGGGGGGGGGGGGTCCGTTTAAACCGTTATAAGGGAGAGTTATTTTAGTTCCCAACTGTGCGATCTTGTTTGATGAACGACTGAGATGGCATGACACCCAAACGGTGTCGTTTGGTTATTTAAAAGGGGTGGACCGGTTGGCTTGTGGAGATTGAGTTGGGAGGTGAGTTTGTTGAAGGGAGGTTGGGCTATTTGGCTTGTCTGGCCCAATTACAAGAACAATAAAAGGATGACCTTTTAACTTAGCCAAATTCCAAAATAAATCTGAATTTTTGCAACAATAAGCCAATTTTGATTTTTTCCTAATATTAAACTAATAGACATGTGGATCAAAAACACTAACCAATTAACCCAAAACTAAAAATGATTAAAGCATTTTTTGCACTTTCCTTTTCTTCGTTTTAGAAATTCTAATTTCATTAATTAAAAATCATGAACAAGGTAAATAAAATTCTAAATTAGACTCTAATTTAATCTATTTTGTAGAATTGATCTTACTTATTTTCATTAAATTGACGCTAATTAATTAAAACTAAAAGCTAAAATGTATACATGACTGTTGTATTTTTTGTAATTTTTAAATCCTAAAAATACAAATAAATACCTAAAATGCAATGCATGAAATTTTTTGACATTTTTTTGGTATTTCTTGTAATTTTAAAATATTAAACATGCAACTACATGCAAACAACAATTAGCAAGAAATTTCTAAAAATTTTATAAAAATTAAAATTATTAGAAAAATGCTATTTTGTGAATTATGTAGGAATATTTTAATCGGGCAAAAATCACGTGCTCACACATAATACTATTATGGAGATTAAAAAAACTTTTGGCAGGGACTATCCGGAGGAGTTCACATTGTTATAGAGAGGCGAACCAAGTCGCCGATGCTCTTGCTAACCGTGGGGTTGAAGAAGGTGAATCAATTTTTTATAATCCAAAGGATCTTCCTAGAGATGCAGCAGGACCTTATATATTGGACAAAGCTTACATGTCATCCATAAGGCATAAACATTGGAGAAATCATTTTGTATGAACTGTTGTGCTCTTTTCTAATCAGATTTCTTTGGACAGAGGTTTTTGATACACCCCCCTGTTTGTATCACCTTTTGGATTGAAATAATAGGCCAGCGCCACTTAACGACGTAAAATTATATTTAAAAAAAAGATAGTATCTAGCTAATAATATGCGATTGCATATTTATATATTACATACAGTCAGTAGAGGGAAGTAGCAAATATCCCATAGAATGAGTCGAGGTACGCCAAAACTGGCCTTTTATTAAAAAAAAAAAGTTATTATGATCAAATCTAGTACGATGAAGAGATGACTTTTAGTGTTACAATGAAGACTAGTCAATTTATATTAGGGAAGTGAAGCTCTGCTAGGAATATTATTGATAATACATAGTTTGAATTCCTAAATACACGACTGACTTTTCCCTAATTACTGAATCCTTTGAACATCAACTTGCTGACGTGGAAATTACATACTGAAACACGATACAATCATAAAAATATATCTTTATGCATTTGCAATAAGCTTGTAGCAAAGTCTAAGCCATGAATGGCCAATCACTACTTCAAGATGGCTTTAATCTTTTTAGCCAAATGATCTATCGCTTTCTCACCTTTCATTCTAATCTTCTCCTTCATTTCTCTTACATTATTCTTGACTTCTCCAATATTTTCCATCACCTTCCTTATTCCTCTAGCCACCTCCTCTCTTTTAATCTCTCCATTTTCATCTTTCAAAATCTCAAAACCAAGGCCAAGTTCCTCCATTAATCTTGCATTTGTAGGCTGATCAAGATGTTTTGGCAAAGCTATTATAGGAACACCAAAACATATACTTTCTAATAAAGAATTCCATCCACAGTGAGTCACGAACCCGCCGATACTAAAATGTCCTAAAATTCTAGCTTGTGGTACCCATCCTTTTACAACCATCCCTTTCTCTGATTTTTCATGAAAACCTTGTGGCAAAACTTCTTCAATTGTAGTAGTCACACCCGCAGGGAATGTTATAGTCCAAATATAGTTTACTAGGGTTAACTCAAGCCCTTTAGCTATCTCTTCAATATCTTTCTTTGACAAGAAATATTCACTTCCAAAAGAAACAAAAACACATGAAGATTCATCTTTTTTATCTAACCATTGTATGATCTCTAAGTCTTCCTCTTCATCAATGGCGTCACGAATAAGTGGACCAATTGGTATTATCTCCTTTTTGGACAACTGAGAAAGATGATCAATGAACTTGCCTTCAATCTCCTTACAACTATTGACCAAAACAATGTCATTAGATTGTTCAAAGGCTTTTAGGGCTATCCCTCCTAAAACTTTTTGCCTATCTATTTCATCTAAATCTTGGGCAGCAATTTCATTAATATCACAATTAATTTCCCTAATATTTTCTTGGAGAATATGATAGAATTTTGAAAAAGTAGCTATACCTGAAGTGTATAAATGAATAGCAGGAATATTACGTGAAGAAGCTATGGTTGCAACCCATGGTTGGAAGCTATCATATATGATAAAATTAGGGTTTAGAGTGTCAACAATGGTGGAAAATTTTGAGGAAGCCATTTGAAAAGTTTGGATAAGTGTGAAGTTAAGATGAGGAGGTAAGCCATTGGTTGTGTGATAATGAGGAGGAAGCTTAGGTGAAGATGGTAAATGAAATTCCACTAATTGTATACATAAATTACTTGAGGGTTGTTTGGCTAGGGTTTTCTCAATGGATTCAAGAATTATGGGGGTAGAAAGAAAATATATGTGAAAGTTTCTTTGTGCTAATTTCTTGGCTAACACCAAATAAGGTGTCACATGGCCTTGTGCTAACCATGGAAAGAGTAAGACAGTTGGAAATTTCTGGTCTTTCTCCATTAATTATTGTGGAAATCCCTTGATTCCTTCCCTTTATTATTTATACTATGGCAGCCTTAACTCTGTATATATGTATGACAAACTTTGTATAAACCAAGGAAGCAAGAAAAAGTATAATTAACTTGGATTACTTCAATAATTTCTTATACAAGTCGATATCATCTAACTTTGTACAGAACACGAAGATGGTTCTAGAAATAGAGATCGGCTATATACAGCCTATTACAAATGTACTTTTAGTTACATAATTTTTTTCACAAGAGATCGATTGTTACAAAGAAATTTAAAAAAATGGAAAAATTTGAATACTAGAAATTTTTGTGGTGTCATTTTCATATGTTCCAACTATAATTGGTCATATGAGACCATTTCTCTTTTAGAACTAGTATAATGCATGGTTATTTGTCAAATGACGTTCTACCCTGTCAAGATTAAAATATGGTAGTTTCTAGAAATTTGAGAATATTTTAAATACATGATGACCAAAGTGAAGACGTAATGAGCATTAAACAATTAACCATTTGTAGTTTTTCCCGTTTGGGATTAATGTTGTTTTCTTTTTTGTGTTTGACGTGTATGGAAAATCATTTAGTGGGACTATCATATTCCATCGATTGATCGTACGGAATACAGCTAAGCCGGCCGGAAGTTTGCAGTTGAGTAAAAAATACTAAAATCACGAAGGTCTTTAACAAAATTTCATTCGTTTTTTTTACACTAAAGTTTACACACACAAATTAACTATAAATGCGTCTATGTGTGAAAATCACTAAAAATTAAACAAATACTATTAATTATGAATTCATAATGTCAAAAGTGAGGCAACCTCATTAATAGGAAAAACCTTAGTGCTTGAATTTGTCAAGTTTGAATCTTAGATCAGGTTATAATAGTTAATCAAAATACTACACTTCAATCTGTATGCTATTTCGTTACTGGCATATAAAGGTCTTGCCACTTACTCAATGAGGAAGTTTTGGAAGGTGTTTACCACAAAATTAGGTAACAATTAAATTTGTATGTGGTTTAAATGATACGTGGTTTAATTCAACACGAATAATTAAGAATAGTAGATAAATGAATTAAAGATGAAATAAACAATCAAAACAATCGCAATATTATGACCAAGTCTGATCTTAGATTGAACAACAACCTCGTCCTCAATTGGACTCTCGGTTTGAGCTTGGTCGTGAATAAAGAACAGTACAAGTGAGCAAAGTTCTTGAGAATACCTAGAAAGTAAAAATAAACTTTTATTGCCTTGAATTGCATGTTACAACGTGTCAGACTAAAGAAAAACTTTCCCTTTATATAGTAGGAAGTTTCAATCCTAGTAAAAGTCTAAAAGAGGTAAAAATCTTCTTTTTTCGATAATTACTGATCCATAATCGACATCGAGTGAGATTCGCACCGTGATATCCGGTTGAGGGCAAATATCATGGCCCTCTATCCGTTATGCACAACCGTTCACCGTGTCTCCCGAGGTCTTAGAACTTATACTTGGCCCGGGGCGCGTAGCTTTACCATACCCTATGACGGACACATCGTTCACTCTTCCTGGGACTCGATACGAAGGGTCTCTAACCTCGATTATAATCTCGTAGATCTGTGCTATCCCTCCGTTCTCTCATCAGAAAATCGGGGTAGACATTGCCCCCAAATTTACCCATACACAGATAGTCCCCTCATTTTCTGGATTGTAGGTTTACCGAAATGACTAGAATCGATAGATGGACCCCGATTCCTTCCTTCGTATGTTACAACCGAGATGATGGGTCAACGAAATGTTCCATCAGTCGCGTCATTCTGACTTTGGACACGTGTCAACCGCCGTTTGACTGTCCTCAAATGTGAAACGTCACGCATTGATTGTCCTTCCTCTATAAAAGCTCCGGCCCTTTTTTACTTCTCTACTTTTCGATTCCAGAACTCTTAGACTTACCCTCAAATTCTCTACTTTCCTTTTAACTCCTTCAAATCTTTATACATTGCTCATTTGGCCTTCATATCCTCATCCTCAATCTTCACACATTCTCTTTGAATCTTCAATCAAGACCTTCATATCTTCATCTCATCTTCGAATCTTCATATTTTTCCTTCAAACCTTCATATTTTTTCTTCAAACCTTCATATTTTCCAGATCCCGATGGCAAAAACTTCCAAATTCGTGCCTTAGAAAATCGCTCCTTCATCTTCCAACCTGACCACAGATGCCGAGGTGACCGTTCCTGAGGTGGCCCAGGAGTCTCCCTTGAAGAGCTTCATACCCGGGGGATACTCTATCAGGAACGACTTCAACGTCGAGAAAGCCTCTAGTCAACATGACCTAGGCGAGGGAGCATGGATTTACATATGCTCTGTTACTGAGGAAACATTGCCCACAGTCCGAGTAGACTGTAACTGGGAGGTCAAGAAGGTGGTCGTCCTCGGGCCTAATCACGACGTCTCCACTAACGTGAAGTGGTACTTAAGTGTTTACATGTACCCATTCACGCTTGCCCCGGTTGACCCAGTAGTCCTCAACTTTTGCAAAAGGTATGAGGTGTTCGTTCGGCAGATTCACCCATCTTTTTGTAGGATTGTAATCCTCCTTCGACATTTCGTGAACAACACCGAAGCACCTCGGTTCACCCTCGACCATCTGCTTCGTCTATACAATCCCTGAATCTTCCGAGGAGTGTTGATCAAGCTCGTCCGACGAGCTATAAAAGCTCCATTCTCGAGTATCGACGAGGATCGAGATTGAGGATGGCAGGGGAGATTCGTTCAGGTGAAAATCGAAGACCTCATCCCTTCCGAATTTCTACCATTCCCGTAGAAGTGGAACGCCTCCCATGAGTCTTTTACTTCTTGAGTATTTAGCATTCCATTTTATTCTTTTTCTAATTGCCTGTGTTAGTCGTTGTGCAGCGGTTGCCCAAGTTACCAATGCAGTCCCCCGCTTCAAGGAGTGGATCGAGGGACTCTACAAACAGATGCCATACTTCGAGCGCTCTTGGAGCTAGCTCTCAAAGGCCAAATAGGAGGCTCGTTCCCATGGTGAGGCTCTCTCCCAACGATTACCTTCTCATATTCTTGGTTTATACATCGCTGAGTCTTCTTTATTCCTACAGTTTTGCCCAAGACCACCGAGCTCAGGCTGTTGGATAAGGACGAGGATCTTTCTTCGCTTGCCGAACCCTCCACTTCGCGATATCCCGGGGATGGTGCAAAGGAGGAGAAAAAGAAGAAGAATAAGAAGAGGAAGTCTTCGGCCTCCCCGGACGCCGAGGTGAATAAGAAGAGGGTGACCACCCAGGTCCGGAAAAGCAAAAAGAGCTCCAAGTCCAGGGTACCTGAGTCTGATTCCCTCTACCGGCTCAGGGATTATCCGAAGGATGACGACCTTGAATTTATTGTTCATGGGTCGATCCTCAACGAGGGGGAGAAGGAGACAGTCGGGGAAGGTGACCACGAGGTCTATCCCCCTCTATCTCGGGAACCAGAGGGAGAGACAGAGGTCGCGGCCTCCCGAGAAGCCGCTCCTGTCTCGAAGGAGGTAGCTGGTGTCATTGACATCATGGATATGCTATCCTATACCGAGACCATATTCGAAAAGGCTCAAGCGGGTAAAGAGAAATCCAACAAGACATTATCGGTCCCAGATGATGCACTCAGGACGTTCTTCGATGGCATGGACATGGCCACGTTGGAGGACTTTTCCGGGCTTGATCACCTGGAGGTCCCAAAAAAGGATGTGCCATCGGGAGTGGGCGAACCGAGCTCGAGTTCGAAACTAGTGATGCAGTTCCCTGCCTCGAGTGTGGACCCCGACTGTAAGAGAAGGTCGTTCTTACTATTCCAGCGGATGCCCTGGCCCTATCCACTCCAGTGGGTGTAGCCAGCTACCTTTGGTGCCTGGTGAACGAGGAGGACCAGGAAAAGATGAATAAAGTAGGCACGTCGAGCCTCTTCAACGAGGCACAACAAGCATTGAACTGGGTAAGGCGTCTATCCTTCGTACTCCTTTGCGAATCTTTCTTAGTTTTAGACATGTTCTAATAGCTTCATTATTTTCAGGCTTCAGTGCTTTACCATGAAAGCTTCCTTCAGTCTCGAGTTCGAGCTCAAAGAGAAAGTCCAGAAGACAGAAATGTACAAGACTCTCAGTAAACAACAAGACGGGGCCCTCAAGGACCTCCCAATTCTCCGAGCCGAGCTAGAAAAGGCTCAGAAGGAGGCCTTGTCCGTGAAGCGGGAGCACGTCGATCTGGTCGAGAAGGTAAGGATATTTGAGGCTAAAAATGAGAAGCTACTCATGATAACTAACAACGCAACTTCGCAGGTCCAAGAGAAGGTAGACCTGATCGACCAGCTTCGGGCTGAGATGGACAGGTCAAGGCCACGACCGAGGCGTGGAAGGGCAGGATAGACCTGTTGGCTTCGGAAAAAGAGGCTACAAAAGTGTAGCTTGCATCGGTCAAGGACCAACTCTGAGTAGCAAGGGACAAGGCCGACAAGCGGTCTAGGCCAAACGATGAACTCCGGGCACAACTGAACTCAACCGTCAGGGAAGGGGATGCCCTCGGCCAAGAATATGCTGCGCTGAGGTCCATGTTGGAGGTGACTTCTATTGATTCCTCCGACGTTGAGGAAATGCTTGCCCAATATAAGGCCGATGTGGAGATAACCGAGGCCCGCTTAAAGACGAAGGCCGAGTATGTTAAGCGGATATCCTGGAGAGAGACCCTCGAGGAGGTCCATGCCTGAGGTTTTAACTTGTCGGCCGAGGAGAAGGAACACTATGAGCCTGAGGGTCCCGAAGGCTCTGAGGGTTCCGACAGTTCTGGTGATGAGTTGAGACCCGGAGAAGACCAGGCATAAATGCCTTAGTTTTTTTTTTTAGTTTTTCCTTGTGTATTTTCTTTTTTGTTTATTTTGAGGTTGTTTTATTGCCTTCGTAAATATTTTTTGGAATATATAAAAATTTCCCTTTTGGCAACACCGTATCTTTGCTTTCCAACATCTATTTGCGCATCATTTTTAATGCCTTAGCATAAAATCAAATGTAGTCTAGAGAATCCGTTCTTCGGAGGCCCGAATG